AGACGATGGCCGCGTCGTCAGCGTAGAGCATGTCCCACAGGGCCTCTGCGACCGTCACCATCATCGCCTTCTTCCCCGCCGACCTGCCCCTCTTGCCCGTGCACTCCACTCGTGTTGCGATCTTGATCATATCCGCCGTCACCTTGGGGTCCTTGTCGAACTCGGTCACTGCGACCATGCGCATCGCGGCAGAGAACAAGTTGAACAGCAGCGGGGCCAGGTTGCACCCCTGTCGGAGACCTTGGCCGACGTCAAACCATTCCGAGTGTGTGGGCGTGTAGTTCAGTTGTGAGCATGCAAACGTGCTGCAGGGATTGCAGGTGTGCCTCCTCGGGCTTGAGTGCCCTTTTCTTACTAATATTGTGTGTGTTCTTTAGATCTTCTGATGGCTCTTGCATTTTTGTGACCACGAACCGAGTCTTTCCTAGGTTTCGGGATTAGCAACTGACACGAGTTTAATGTGAAGAAACAACAACAACAACAACAACAACAACAATCCCATGGTTGGAGGGGAAAAGGAGTTAGTCTGGAAGATTCCTGCGGGGGAAATGATTGATGAAAGGGTCGCTTTTCCCGACAGTTCAGGGTACATTTCCGAAAAAAAGGGTACAATTGTTGAGAAAAGTAGTCACGGCAGGGTATACGCTGCGCCTTTTCGGACGCACCGGTGAAAAGGATATGCACGCGCGGTGCAATCTGGGAGACTCGTGGAGACGAACTCACTTGTCTTAGCGTCTGGTCCAGGGGCTCCTCCATCCAAGCTCCGTTTCCCTTGCTGAAAGAAATCAGTAACGGCAAGGACGAGATCGGCGGTAGAGGGCTTGTCGGGGGTGATCGCACTCAAAAGTGTTTTTTTCGAGAGGACGTTCCCATCCACGCACAAAATCGGCGCCTGTCAAACCTTCACTCTGCTCATCACACAACAGCAAAATATCGGACAAAGCCGTTCTTGTTGTGCGAATAAGCTGCTGATAGCCATCTCCCGGCAACAGAGTAGCGGGGAAGGGCATGGTAGCGACATTCTCAACTTTGTTCAAGTTGAGGGTGATGTACGCTCGTTGTACTGTAGCTACATGAGCATTACGAGCAGCTGCATCAGTCGCATCGATCGATACTTGACGAGTGTGTGCTGTGCTAGAATAAAGTGGCAAAGCACGATCATCGGAGACAGCGGGGGGTGCGGCGACGGCTACCGAAGCAGCTGTAGGGACATGGTCTGAAGACAACATGCTACGCAAAACACCCGGCACTGGTGGATCAAACGCCGAAGGGGGGTTGAGGTTCGAAAATCAAGAATTCTGCATCATTCGTGGATCTACGGCATGGTGAGCGGTAGAAAGGCTACGGGGTGCAAAGGTTTCCAAAGAAACAGGGGTGGTCGAAACCGGGGCTGACTTCGAAAACTCAACGCTACGTACATGTCCGGAGTCTACAGCATTGAATGCGGCAGAACGGACAGAAGAGGCAAAGCGTTCCGAAGAAACAGGGGTGGTCGAAACCGGAGCTGACTTCGAAAACTCAACGCGATGTACATGTCCGGAGTCTACAGCATTGAATGCGGCAGAACGGACAGAAGAGGCAAAGCGTTCCGAAGAAACAGGGGTGGTCGAAACCGGAGCTGACTTCGAAAACTCAACGCGATGTACATGTCCGGAGTCTACAGCATTGAATGCGGCAGAACGGACAGAAGAGGCAAAGCGTTCCGAAGAAACAGGGGTGGTCGAAACCGGAGCTGACTTCGAAAACTCAACGCGATGTACATGTCCGGAGTCTACAGCATTGAATGCGGCAGAACGGACAGAAGGTGC